TTGGTAGCATAATGAAAACATTCAAAGAACGCTGGCGGGGGCATATGCAATCTTTTAATAGCAGTGACTATAGGTAAATGACTTCATTATCCAAGTATTTTTGGAATCTAAAAGAAAAGAACAAAACACCTACGGTTAAATGGAGATTGATTAAGAAAGCCCGGACATGTAACTCCCTATATTTCCCATGTTACCTATGTCTTAACGAAAAATTTGAAATTATTACATTTAAAAACAATGCTGATCTCTTAAATCAAAGATATGAACTAACAGTTAATTGTAAACAACGTTATAAATTTAACTTATTATAGGGGTCCTATACTTTAAATGATAATGATATGTCGCTGTAAGTTTAATAGATTATTGTTTTTTGCCTGATGGTCATCCTGACGATATGAATGTGTATTGTATACCTACATAGCGTTATTCGTGTTTGTGTATGTGTGTATATATTTATTTGTGTGTAGGTATGTGTGATTGTACTGCAGGAAGGTGTATGTTTGTATATAAGTGTATTTATATGTTGTAGGTTTGGTATATTTTATATATATATATATATATATATATATATATATATATATATATATATATATATATATATATATATATATATGTGTGTGTATGTGTATATATATATTTGCATATAAAAAAGTAAGAAGGTAAAAGGAGAAGTTAAGAGGTTAATAAATATTAATGTATATGTGTATGTATATGTATTTGTGTATATGTGTGTGTATATATATATATATATATATATATATATATATATATATGGGTAAATGTATATGTATGTGACCTGTTATATATTGTGTATCTAAATTTATATTTACGTATATTTCTGTTTGTATGAATGTGTTTATATATGTATGTATATTGGTGTGTGTATGTATATGGATGTATATTTATGTATGTATATGTATGCATGATTATATATGTATTTAGTTGAATGTCGTTGTATTTATGTGTTTGTACGTATATATGTGTACTTGTTATTATAGATAGGTATATTTATGTATATATTGATATGTATATATATTTATGTGTATATTTATATGTATATATATGTGTATATATGTATATTTATGTTTGTATGAATGTGTTTATATATGTATGTTAGGGTACATGTATATTGGTGTGTATGTATACGGATGTATGTTCATGTATGTATATGTATGTATGTATGTTTATATATGTATTTAGTTGAATGTCGTTGTATATATATGTATGTTTGCGGATGTATATGTGTGTGTTGACACCTATTATATATGAGATTGTTGGTGTGTATGTGTAGGTATGGAAACTTTGGTTTGTCATTACTGCCACATGAGTTAGTCTATGTATGTGTATATATGTTTATGTATTGGTATGTGTATATATGTATATTTATGTGAGTATGTGTGCATAAAAATGTGTGTATATATATGTGTATGTGTGTATATATGTATGTATATGTATGTATACTTATCATAAATGTGTATATGTATATATATGTTTATGTATTTATATGTATGTATTTCTATGTATATATATATGTGTGTGTGTGTGTTTATGTATGTGTATGTATGTATATGTATATATATGTACGTATATGTTTATGTTTATGTATTTATATGTATGTATTCATGTATATATATATATGTGTGTATTTATGTATGTATATATATATATATATATATATATATGTGTGTGTGTGTTGTGTGTATATATGTATATGTGTGTATGTATGTATGTACGTATGACTATACACTTATTTCTGTAAGTATTTCTTTTTATCTTATTTTTCTTCACCTAATATATAATAAAACTTTTATCAACTTATATGATTAAAATATGTTTTTATAGATATTTGTGGATTTGGAATTTTAATAATATTATTTTTAACCATTTTTATATTTGTATATTTGCTCGCTTAAGTTATATTTTAATAAGTGGCTAGCATTTATTTAATGACATTTTCCGTCTTAAATATTTATTGGTTGTGGTATCTGATTGTCTAGGCCAATGTCAGTGGATGTGTGTACATATATTTATTGGTGTCTATGTGTATGGAAAGTGCATTCACTTTTAATTGTGTATGTATGTATGTGTTTGTTTCCCCTTTTCTTCTTTTTTTTTTTTACATAAAAGGCCGTGGAGATGTTCCTGTCTCGTCACTTATTTTGTGTGTATATATATCTAAATATGTCTGGATGCTTATGTATTATAATCTGATTGTGTTTGTGTTGTTTTACGCGTGACCCCATTCACACACTTGGGATTAAAATGTATACATATATATTGTCAGAGGACCGGATGGAGTAACGTCTATTCTAACGTAATTTCAACGAAGAAATAAATTGAATAATATATGTATTTCCCCTTTTCTCCTCGGTAATTTTATAATTTTAAACTTAATAGTGATTAAATTTGGATTTTAAAAATTGGCAGTTTTTAATTTTAATATCAAATTCTATCATATAATTTAATAATTATTGGTTAGAATAAATTTAAAAAAAAATTTTACCCGTATTTTAACGATCTGAATAGCTATTAAAAATGACTTCGTTGTCAGGCTTTTTGAATTTTCCCATACTTGTATTTTGATTGGTCATTCTAGCTTTTGGAACAACGTTTTCCCCTTGTGAAGGATCGTTAACTAATTTGAAACGTTTAAAACCATTTGTTTTGCATTCAACATCATCACTTGATAAGACACCGGGAGTGTTGAAAGAAAATGGCTATTTTTGTAGTGATTTTATAACATGTTTATGTTATAAATTTTCTAAATAAAAAATTATATCGGCTCTACTTTGTATTGAGCACCCTTTTAAGAATAGTAGTTGTTGGTTATTGGAATTCATTCCGTATACACCAATTATATACTTGGATATATATATATATATATATATATATATATATATATATACAGATTCAGTCTGTAATTTCAGTGTTTGTTTATTTGTCGTACTACTAAGAGCAACATATCATCAGATATATTTTTTAAGTTGATTTTTTGTCGAGCTACTATCAGATTTCACAAGATATGCTCTGAATCGTAATATACAATAATTAATGACAATATATATATATATATATATATATATATATATATTCGAATCGCACCATGGTCTATTTGCGTGCTGCATCTCTGGAAAGTGACTGAAAACCATACCTAAGCTAGCACAAAGTTACAAGTCATATTTTGAGCATGCTGGCCTTGTTTAGATTGTTGACCAGGCGAGATAACACCCTCTTTCCAAGAAACTGTAACTAAGGCTTGCCCAGCATAGTTGTCGTAGAAACAGACACAAATAGGGATTGGCTAGCCGCCCGAGCAGACGGCTACCCTCGAATACGAGTGGGAAGCTATATATATATATATATATATATATATATATATATATATATATATAGAGGGGCCGTGGCGGTTACCACTTGTTGAGGGTTCATGGCGTGGCTGTTATGTTGTTGATAGAAGTCAGACGTAGAAGGAACGCATGTAAGGTTCAGATACTCCTGCTCGCCGGGCCCAACTACATAAAAAGGTTGGACTTTGATTAAGTCCAAAGAAGAAGGCAAAGAAAGCAAACAAAACACAAGACCGATAATATATGTATATACAAATATATATTAATAACAAGTTACAATACATGGAAACAGTACAAAGGACGAAGTGTGTGTGAATATTCTGTATGTGCGTGCGTGTGTGAATATTCTGTATGTGCGTGCGTGTGTGAATATTGTGCTTTGCGTGTTTCCACGCTATCCCTTGTTAGCATCTACAGTTCGAGGTTGATAGCTGAAATCATGAAGGAAAAAGAGAAATTACCTCAAGGTGTCAGTGCACAGGCCTGAAAGAAAAAGAGATAGAGGTAAAGAGTCAGCGGCTATTTATAGCCAGGGAAGAGAGACCCCTGGTGAAAGGGTTAACGGACTGAAGGAGGAGTTAACTCCGACATATATATATATATATATATATATATATATATATATATATATATATAAATTTTCCATGACTTCATTGGAAATAGACTGAAGTCGTTTCCCATTGCCTTCTCGACGGACTCAATTTAGAATTGTATCTTCTTGACTGACTACCACTCAAGGCTATATATATATATATATATATATATATATATATATATATATATATATATACCCTGTTATAGATTATAGAATGTCAGTTGTGTTTGATTGATAAAAAGTACTAGCTTCTTGACAGTTTTATACGTTGACTTTATTTACTACTAACCTAGAAGTGGCCCTTCTTTTATTTTAGACTTTAGTTTAGCTTCGGCTTTTTACTTACCTTCAGCGTCCTGCGTATGTAAATGTCATAAAAATTTGGAAATAATATAATTATTTTATCTTTATTCGACACCATAAGTCGGCATAATCTTACTTCATATACGCAATCGATCCCCGTATTTTGTTTGCATTTATTTTGCGCGCAATTTTTATATTCTTTTAAAATCACCATTCTTTATGATCCTTTCATATAAAGCCACCCTTAAAAAACATTACGGAATCCGAACATTGTAATATTTCGAATACGCCACAACACACATGCTAGAAAAAGAAATAAAAACGTATGAGCAACGTACCGTGCCCCACTTAAGTTTTAATTATGGTTTAATTAACCGATATCAATTGCAATTGCGACGAAAAGCGGAATTAAGAAATAATCGTCTTTTAAACCTTTCACTTTGTTCGATATTTAAATGAGTTTTAATCGCTTATAACTACAGTAGTTACTATCTGTTACTTCAGGTTGTTTATGATTCGTCGAGATCAAAAAACAGACGGACGGACGGACGGACAAACGTACACTGCGTTTTCTTTATTATAGAATCGTAGGTTCGTTTTCAGGATCAAATTCACTATTTATTCGTATTGATTAACCAAACGAGCTCGTTAAACATTATGCTAAGCCGAGACCTCCACAAGTTTATTCTTGGTGCGTATTTTCCTCTATAAATCTGGTCTGTGAATCTGAATAAATACACATTTTGTAATTGCAGGTGGAAGAAGTGAAGACAGGTTTGCAAACGTCGCTTCTAGTTCGGCATCCGGAAACGAATGAACTTTTTGTCAACTTTGATGCTCAAGTGATCGTAATGATTCGGGAAGTTGAATGTATGGCTCGCCTCGGTCTGGAAATACCACCATTCGCTTCCTCTCTCCGTGCCAGACAGGAAGAATATAAAAATATTTGCAACGCCCTGGAGGTAAACATTTTAGGCACATTTAATTAAATGAGAATAGGATAAAAATTCAATGAACATTGATTCTATTTTTGTTTTTTTTTTAAATTTCTTTCTTAATTTTCTTTCTTTTTCCTTCATTTCTTTTTACCTTTCTTTCTTTCTATTTACATCATTTCTTTCTCTTTACTTCATTTTTTCGTTTGTCTTCATTTCTTGCTTTTTCCTTCATTTCTTTCTTTTTCATTCATTTTTTTCTTTCTTTTTACTTCATTTATTTCTTTTTATTTCATTTCTTTCTTTTCCTTTCTGTTCGTTTGATTTCTATCTTTTTCTTAATATGGCCTGTTATTTTGATTTATATGATTCTTTCTTTCAATCAGCTTACTTTATTTCTTTCATTCTCTTTTTTCTTCATTTATTTCTATACTTAATGTACTCTATGTACTTAATTTCTTTTTTTCTATTGGCTTCATTTCTGTTCTTTCTTCATTAATATGGCCTGTTACTCTTTATTTACAACTTGCCTTTCTTTTGCATTCCAATTTACCCCATTCTTTCTTTATTTATATTATATATTTTCTTTCTCTCTTTCATTTTGATTTTTCTTTCTTTTTACATCATTTTTTCTTTCTTTCTTTCTTTCTTTCTTTCTTTCTTTCTTTCTTTTTGCTTCATTTCTTTTTTTCATTCTTTCTTCTATTACATTATTCTTTGTTATTCAACTGCTTTCTTTTTTTGTTCCTTTGTTCTTGA